TATTATGTAAATCATTACACCACTCATGCCTCCCACATTCCCATTTGAGAATTGAGGAATTTATTATTACCACTAGCGTGGTCCTAAATTCTATAACTTTTAACCACATCGCTGCATCAATTATTACTGGCAAGCTAAACCTATTTATGTTTTCAGTTTTCTTAACCTATACATATTTTGTTTATTGTTTCAACGAAATGTACGATGAGTCCCATGAAAAAAAATGTAGCTTCGTATTGAGGAAAATATATAACTACGATATATTAATATTGCTAAAAAAAAACATACTGTTTTTCTTATCAAGATTTCTCTAAATTAAATGTCACAACAATTCCATGAAAACATCAAAATTGAAAGAAACATGAAGTCCTACATTCCCCTTTACTTCGAATTCTACAAAGTATAAAATTATATAACTCAAACCAGAATCTACACCGGTACAACATCAACCTGTCCGGTTTACCAAAACCGGTGCGGGTGAAGCGCCACTAGTCAGACTGGTTCAACTTCCACAGAGAGGAAGTTTCTATCAAAAGCTAGAGGAAGGTCGAGGCTTGCCTTTGATGGAGTTTAAGTGCTGAGTAACGAAAATAACTGCCATTACTACTAGGAGACATCCAACCAATGAACTGAAGAACAGAGCCCCTGGCTGTCTGGTTTGAACAAACCCGTAAACTCCGTTTGATGTCATCACAATCACATCCGTTAGACCGTCGTTCGAGAAGTCATCAGTGATAAGTGCATGAGTCGGCTGAGCTGGTAACTCGATGGAAGCCAATACGCTTCCTCCCGGAGAGATGATGACAGCCGCTTGATCTCCTCCGGCAAGGATCATTGGCTGGTTATCATGTATGCGCAACGAGAATGGTTTAAGGGTCGGTACCACAGTCCCTGATTCAGTTAAACCCGACGGAGAAGGGAGGTTAGACCATGTGGCTTCTGTCTGAAGCTGCCATTGCCAGACTGCGTCGTGGCCGTGGACATCAGGCGTGTATGATGTCACCTGATACGGAACAGCAATGAGCTACTGAACGAAATTCAAAGTTTCAAGATTTATGAGATTGGATAGTCAGATATAGAAAGGGAAAAAGTACCTCTCCACGGTTTGTCAAGAAGATTACATCTCCGTGACTTCCTCTGCGGTATCTATGTCCGTCATCTTTAGGGATGAGAATGGGAGTTGCGATCTCCAGAGTTGAGGTGTCTCTTGCCTGAGCAAAGTTTCGTGAAAACTCTCCGTAGTGCATGAAGTTGAAAGGGGAGTGATGGCAGATCGAGACGTTGAAGAGCTGTTCACGAACCGGAACGCCTGAGGTTGCCACTGCCCAGCATGGCTTCAACACTTCCATTGACCCGCTCACTACAGTTCTCTCTCCAACATTGCCTCCGACAGTCTAAGGTGGACACAGAGAATGTATTGTCACAAGAATTGAAGACCCATAAAAAAACCAATGAACCAAAAGCAGCAGTAGTGTCTGATGTGTATACCTGGACATGATCAAGTACACCATCTCCGTTTATGTCCGCGTGAAGCCCGCCTTCAAGCAGATGAAGCTGGAGATAGGAAGAATTTAAGGAAACTAAGAGAGTAAAAAATGGGTTTGTGAAATCCTAAGCTTGTTCCTGGCCTGAAGAATAGCAACTAAGACCTACCTTGCAAAGAGTTCGACCAGTAGGTAAATGAATAGCTTCAATTCCTTCTTTTTGATGAGCCACAACAACATTAGGAACCCACCATAGCTTAGTGTAATTAGTTATAGTCGGAATGTATTGCATGCCCTGCATCAACATGTTGCTTGACTATCATTAACCAATGGGTATTTTACAAGTTGTATAAGAGCTTTACCTTCTTGGGTTTTGCAGAGCCAGCATAACCGGCAGCCTTGCCAATCATTTTTGGAATCTTTCTCGACAAGTCTTTTCCAGCGGGTGTGTGTTCCTCAGGTTTGTGAAACGGATAAGTTGTGGACTTACCCGCTTGCTTCTTCAATGTTTTCCTCTTGTGTCGCCTGAAATGAGCAAGCTTTAACAATGTATCTTCACGTCGGTCCTGATAAAATGACAACAGCGTACTTTGAAACAACTTTCTTAGCATGTTAGACCAAGGAAGCACATATCGGAAGCAAAAGACTTACCCAGTGATGTGGCATAACACCAAGAATTGATTCTCTAAAGTCCCTGCATTCAAACTTCATCCCAGCATATCTCAGTTCTTAGAGCTTTAAATTATGCTAGTGCAATATGAATCTCTCAAAAGTCAACTAAGAACAAGTTATCTAATTCGCTTAATAATCGGTGAAGAACTAGTTAACTTTACCTCTCCTGGGTGACGGCTATTTATAGCATGCACATCGAGCTTGTAATTGTGTTGTGGAATCAATTGTGATGCATCTGAGGTATGAGCTTCAACATCCTAGACGAGAAGAAAGAAAATATTCTATCGATCTGACCACCAAATTTGTTGCACAATATATGGATAAAGAAGTGAGAACAAAAGAATAAATAACTGACATCAGTCTTTTTACTCCATCGAACAACGCCAGTCCGGCCAGCGAATGCATAAACAGAAAAGTGACGCAGGTTTGTAGCTCCAGAATCTTCAGAGGCCTGAAAGGAAGCTTAAAGTTCATCTAAACAGTCCAAACAAAGCACTCATGGACAGTGAAATATGTATAGTTTTTTCTTCGTAATTGTTCAGTTCAAGAAAAAAATGTGTAAGGAAACGACAGGGTTACACAGCTATGAAGCAGTCCAAGGAAACTATCACGTAATTGTACCTGATTCTCAGTAGCACTTCGTCTGTGTTGTTCAGCATTTTGTGCTGTCATGCCAAGTTCCTCAAATGGGTCCATGTGATTCTACAAACACAAGTTTAATCTCTTAGTGATACAAGCAGGCTAAATAGAAAATCAACAGATGTATTTTTTCCTCCTACATACATATGGCAGCATCTCCATCCGTCCACCAACGATAACCAAACCGGTATCACCGTGTTTCAATGTGTAATTGCTAATCGATATTGCTACCTCTCTATGGTGTGCATTATGTGGAAAATCCTCCTGTCATTCCACCAACATGAGTAAGTAAAAGATAAGGTCTTATCTGAAAACATTAGACAAAAGAAGAAGCGGATAAAAACCTGCAGATTCGTTTCCCACAGCTTTTTCAGGTTGTGATCAAAGCATAGCACAGACCAACCAGAGGTAACAACGACCACAACCCGCTTCTGTGGTGTTCCATCTTTATAATACCTATCAATAACACCAGTGGCCATCGCCACAGCACGTCTCCCTGACGCAACACGGGTCTTGTCTGGCAAAAGGCTGATCTCTGCAAGAACACGTGCTTCACTGAAACTTTCATCCACACGCCTGGAATGAGGCTCCAGGACCTAATCCACCAAACACCAACAGTTTTCAACACATAGCAGCAAAACCATAAAGCGAAATGCATAAGCAATAAGCTCCAAATCATCCATTCTAACAAAATACTTGCTTGCAAGGCCTCTATAAATTGGCGAGAAAGACTGTAATCAGAAATGTTTACATAACAAAGCAAGAAAAATGCAGAGAGATGATAACATATGAATAAAGATACCTGGATTTTTGCATCATTTGTACCAACGAGGACCTCTTTCTTTCCATCACCATTCAGATCAGCTACAATAGGTGGTGGGAGACGATCAGCTTCGTATTTGACAGGATATTCATCGTACAAATGAAACCATGCTTCTTTGAAAGCAAAATCACCCTCGTGCTGCAAAAACCCAGAATCAAAACCTCACTTATCAAGTAGAATAAGCTCTATAAACTACGCACCAAAAAGAACACATACGAAAATCAATAGATTCCACCTAAGCTAACATATCACCACTTATGGATTCGAATTTGCAGTCGAATTCTGCAGATACAGGAGAACTCAAAGCTTCCTCTAGTAAATCGATCGAGTTCTAGAAATTCTACGCTATAATTGAAGTAAGATAGAATCAATCACCTGAAGAGTGAAGAATATAGCAAATCCAGAGAGCATCAAAATCGCCAAATCTCGTTTCCTCATCTTTTATTTAACCTCGAGCTGATGTATCAATGGCAGATTTGCATCAAATGTAATCAGAAGGCAGCAAACTCCAC